TTAATGCATCAGTTGCAATAGGAACTCCCACATAGCTTGCTAGCTTTCCTAAGCTCTCAGGGTTCCAAAGACTCAAATGGAGTTCAGGAAATTGGATCCAGACAGGAATCTTACTGATATCCAAATTGTTAGGATCAAAATTTGGAATCCACTGTTTCAAAATCAAAGGGTGCCCATTAAATGTCCAGCGCCTCTCTAGCACTGCTTGCTTTGCATCTCCATTACCAAAATCAAACAAGAAAACTCCATTTCACAGCATAAATGCCTTAGGCACCTGGAATTCCCTCCACCTATTATTCATGAAATTAGCAACATCCTTAAACTCAAGTTTAGATCCCACAACATACCCAACAAGAGCATTCTCCCAAATCTTTGACCCTTTAACCCACTCATCCTCGGTAATAACCACAGCACCAGTTGGATCTTGAGGTTTTATGTATTGCAAATCCCATCCTTTACTGATATCCCTATTCCCTTCCACAACCGAAGCCCAACTACGCAGTGGCTTCTGCTTTAGGGATGGTTGAAATTCCCCTTTCTCCTTCTCAATCAGGTCACTCCACCGAGCACTAGGAGAAATCGTCGTACCGAATGTAGAACCAGCATCCTTTTCCCCAGAAGGTTGCTTCATCTGGATGACAGAAGGCTGAGTCTCTGAGTGCACTCCCTTCTTCCCCTTCGCTACTTTCCCTTCCACGGGGCCGGCCTTGTTCTTCCCCTTATCTGCTCTTTCATCCCTGGAACCAGCATCAGATATGCTTTTCCTCTGGCCTTGCGTCGAGACAACTAGATCTAGAAAAATCCCTTCATTGTCCCCTTCTTTCTCCCCTAGATCTGGGCTCAAACACCCTGATTTCTCAATTTCAAGACCCATCTGGTGAGGATCACAAGCAGCAAGCTTCACGACCTCTGTTTGCTCTTTGTTGGTTTCCTCAACTGAGATGCTATTTTGCTCCCCATTATCATCTTTCAGATCTATTGTTTTTGTTGCAGCACCACCCTTAGGCAGCGGATCTTTCTTTCTCGGCTGGCCTCTGCCCCCCATCTCCGGCGTTTCCAGCTAAACCACCACGCTCGCGAACGAGAGCATGGTTGACGGAGAGGAGTCCGTGATCCATAAGTTTAAATTTATCTTTTAAAAACTTATATTTTTTAATTTTTTAACCTTAAAAAGATCTTAATTAACCTTAAAAAGATCTTAATTAACCTTAAAAAAATCTTAAATAGTAAATTTTGAAAAGTTTCAAATTTGTATTGTTTATAAACTTCTTTTTTACTCATTTTTTACTCACTTCTTTCTATTCCTAAAAGTAACTTTTGAATTTTTCTTTCAATAAAAATTTAAACTTATCACTCATAAACAGTATAAAAAAAGTAAAAACTTATACAAGTTTCACCAAACATGCCCTTATAATGGTCTAGCATTCAAGTCTTGGGTTGTAACCCAGCTGCTGACATTAATCCCCTCCCCCTTAAGTTTGTAGTGTAATTGCTCATGTTAAAAAATAAAACTAGAAAAAAAATTACATAGTATGGTTAATTCCTTACTTTATTGATCAAAATTTCTTTCTCAATATAAAGTTGTAAAAT